ATCCGTTTTGTATTATCCATGACCAGATTTATGATTAGTTTTGGGCCTTTTGGGTTTTGGCTATTAAAATAAAAAAAATACCAAATTCATCGATTTTCTTTTGTTTCTAGACATGATGAGGTTAACCGTTAACGGGTAATTAATTATTTATGCATATATATATATATATATATATATGCTAAAACACTATTTAAAAGTACAATATTATAGATTTTGTGTCCGGTGAAAATTTGAAATGGTAAATGGAATTTATTTGAATAGTAACGATATAAACTCAACTATTTTACAAGTGTTAATAATTCAACTGGTAAAAAATCTATATATATAATAGGAAAGTTTTCTCTCCTCTTAAGGTGTCCACATCATCATGTTAAACATCCAATTAAATAAAGCTATGTCATTAGTTAATTTTTTTTAAAAATAAAGTCTAATTACAATATTCATTTAATTCACAATTATTTATATTAATGTTAATTATAATAACAGAAATTATAATTAAGGTAAAACGAATTAAATAAAAGAAATGAAAATATAAAATAGTAAAAGTAATACTATAAAAATTGTATTAGTAATAATAATATAATTCAACTTTCAACATAAAAAAATGATTATATTTCAAATTTTTGAATGTGTTAAATGAGTTTTAGTATGGAAGTAAAATTTAAATGCATCGTAGAGTAAAAACAATTTATGTAATTTTTTCTGTAATTTTAAATAAAAGAAATAAAATTTAAAGTAAAACATTAATTTGTAAGAGCAATATACTACAAAAAGTTTTTCTTTATTTCGAAATATTCACTTAATTAAGAAAAAATTACTAAATCCAACTTACAATTTTTAATTTAAGACAAAGACATGGAAAGAGTCACACTTTTTTGTGAAAGAATGGAAACAAATCCTAAAAATTCAAAAACCTTATGATCTATCTTCTAAAAAAAATAATTGGTTATATTATTCATGAGTTGTATAATAAAATATATGTAAGTTGTTAACAAAAAAAGTGATATGTAAATTATGTAACATGTATCTCAAGTAAAACTACAACTATATAACATAATCAAATAGAAAAACACGTTTGAAAGTTCATCACCTAAATCAATGTTTTCAACCCAAAAATTGGTGGAAACAACATATTTAAAGTATATTACCTTTTTATTTGACAAGACGATGTTAAGCTTACATCACAAGATTAACATCTCAAAATAACAAAAAGCGGTAAGTCAAGTAGTGGTTTAAAATCACAAAAAATGGTAGGCTAAAGAGTGTTCTGAAATCACAATGACACTATTATGAATGAAGATGAAATTACCTTATATAAGTGTTGAATGTGTAAGTGTTTTTTTAAAAAGTATAAATTTCCATAGAAACTTTTAAGTGCATTTAAACATTAGATTATGCAATCTTAAAAAACAAAAATAATGAGATACAACATAGATATTAGTCAAATTTTTAATATTTAAAGTTATTTTCAACTGTTATGATTCTAAAAACTGACCTCTATGACAACATAATATATTACTAAATCCACGTAACGCGTGGATCATTTTCTAGTATTTTTGATCAGGCAAAACTAAAAAGTCGCGGGTTTGAGTAACACTTGGGAGGAAACCATATAAAATGTTTTGGTTTTTGGACTGAAGAGATGTACGGATCTAGGTCTAAAACCTTTTAGTCGTTCAAGAAAAACAAACTTAAATTAAAATATTTTTTGTATTTACGCACGCAATATAGAACAAGTTTTGGTCAGATAGAATGATTTATATCTTAAAAATTGTATATACAATCGAATAAACATCGATATTATTGTTGACAAAAAAACATATACAAACGTCGATACAAGCCAAAAGAAATAAATAGTTAAGTTGCAGACTGTTTATTAATAAATAGTTAATATTCCGAGGAACAAACCAGAGGTGGTGGGCTAGTCGTTCTAATCTGGTGGAAGAGTGGCCTTGTTGGTATAGGGCAGGGATCGATTCTCCTCCGACGCAGAATTGTTCAGCTTTATCTTTTTGGCCACATGGGTATGAGCCCATTGTTTACGACCCATTTGAAAACCTAAAGGGACCCTACCCTTGGGACATCCTCTCCCCAAGGATTAGTCCTAAACCTTTCTATAGGTCCGGAGATTTACTATTCCCAGGAACTAGCAAGTCCTTTTCCAAAACACTGGATCCAGCTAAGCAGTGTAATCTTTGCTTTTGAGTACTTTATATTTGTTTTATGAGCTTTTCACTTTTAAGATTTTCGTATTTGGTCAAAATGTAGAAGAAGGAAAGTGGAAAATGTTGAGGAACCACCAATAACGTGCAGGATTAGTATTTGATAAACCCAGGACATATTAATATCAGGATTAATCCACATAAAGTTGAATAGACAAACAACTACAAAAAAAATAAAGATTTTAATTATGGTTGTTGAGTATATAAATAAATAATATACTCTTTATAGAGGTTTTAGTCCAACTAGGGGTGTCAAAATGGATAAACCAATTCAAACCAATTCATAATCCAATGAGTTTAGGCTTAAATGGTTTATGGGTTGATCCAACTCATTTGTTAAATGGATTGAGTCAATCCATTAATCCAATTATTTGATGGTTTAATGGTTAATTGAGTTGATCCATGAAAATAAAATAATTAATTAATTAATAATTATTATCATCATATAATATTACAAATAATATTTAATGATATAAATGAATTATGATATCACGTTTTTGGCGGGAAATCACAGAATCACGTTTTTGTAGGAAAATCCGGAATCACGTTTTTGGCGGGAGAAAATACGGAATCACGTTTTTGGCGGGAAAATGGGGATCTTTTTCGTCGGAAAAATGCGGAATCACGTTTTTGGCGGGAAAATTACGGAATTATGTTTTTGGCGGAAAAATGTGAAATTGCGTTTTTGGCAGAAAAATTACGGAATTATGTTTTTGGCGGGAAAATGTGAAATCATTTTTTGGCGGGAAAATCACGAATTCACATTTTGGCGGGAAAAATACGGAATCACAGTTTTGGTGGGAAAAATAGAAAATCACGTTTTTGGCGGGAAAATGTTAAATCATTTTTTGGCGGAAAAATCACGTTTTTGGCGGAAAATCACGTTTTTGGCGGGAAAATCACGAATTCACATTTTGGCGGGAAAAATACGGAATCAAGGTTTTGGTGGGAAAAATAGGAAATCACGTTTTTGGCGGGAAAATGTGAAATCATTTTTTGGCGGGAAAATCACGTTTTTGGCGGGAAAATGTGAAATCATTTTTTGGCGGGAAAATCACGAATTCACATTTTGGCGGGAAAAATACGGAATCACAGTTTTGGTGGGAAAAATAGAAAATCACGTTTTTGGCGGGAAAATGTGAAATCATTTTTTGGCGGAAAAATCACGTTTTTGGCGGGAAAATCACGAATTCACATTTTGGCGGGAAAAATACGGAATCACGGTTTTGGTGGGAAAAATAGGAAATCACGTTTTTGGCGGGAAAATGTGAAATCATTTTTTGGCGGGAAAATCACGTTTTTGGCGGGAAAATGTGAAATCATTTTTTGGCGGGAAAATCACGAATTCACATTTTGGCGGGAAAAATACGGAATCACGGTTTTGGTGGGAAAAATAAGAAATCACGTTTTTGGCGGGAAAATGTGAAATCATTTTTTGGCGGGAAAATCACGAATTCACATTTTGGCGGGAAAAATACGGAATCACGGTTTTGGTGGGAAAAATAGGAAATCACGTTTTTGGCGGGAAAATCACGAATTAACATTTTGGCGGGAAAATACGTAATCATATTTTTGGCGGGAAAATGCGAAATCTCGTTCTTGGCGGAAAAAATTATGGAATTGCGTTTTTGGCGGGAAAATGTTGAATCACGTTTTGGCGGAAAAATTTATTTCATGGTTTTAATAGTTAAATCATGTTTACTTTGGTTTACTAAAATCGGTTTACACATTTGATTTGGTTATATTTGGTTTACACATTTGATTTAGAATGTTTAATCTTTATTGGTTTGGTTATGAGTAATCCATTAATCCATTCTAACATAAACCATTTCAATCCAATTCATTAAACTCACTAATCCATTAAATCCATTAATCCATTAAGATCCAAATTTCTCATTCATTATATCCATGGATTGGATTGGTTTGGATTGATCCATTAACTTTTATCCATTTTGACACCCCTAAGTCCAACCATCAAATTAAAAACGCGTGAACTTTAAAAACTAACTGAGGAGACAATGCAAGAGATAGCACAATCAATCTAATGGGATCATGACCATTGGATATAGGTGGTGAAGAATTTGGAGAAGCTATAGTGATTGGTGAGCTTGTTGTTAGCAATAATGGAAATTAATAACTAAGAGCTAAGATTCGTCATATGGTTATAAGCGATCATCTATCTTTATGGTTTCTTTTTGGCCATTGTGAACGTTTTAAGAATGTATTTCACTAATCGTACTTCTAAGTACATAAAAATGTATACAGTTTAGGAAAGTCATTAAGCTATACAATCCAAAAATCTGAGCTAGTGATAAATGGAAGGACGGTCTAATTAATGATTTATGTTTGGATAATTATTGGAAGTCATGAAAGACTCGTAATAAGCTTTCATAATGGGGTCATAACAATTCAACAAGGACGGTGGATGAAGTCTTTTTGACAGTTTTTTGGTCCACTTATATTTTATTTATTTATTCGTTATATGAGAGTAATACTTACAACTACAATGAATTTCCTAGAACATTCATTCGATAACGTAGATAAAATGGAGCCAAAAAAGAACAAATTTGGGATGTAAGAAAAGCTAAGAAAATTTAATTGTCGCTTGTTTGGTCAAACTCAGTATATGAATTGAATGCTTATTTATTTTATTTTTTAACATCTAGTATAAAAGTTTGATGCTAAGAAAATGATAAATCTGGGATGAAAATTACACATAGGCTAATACAACGAGATTTATGAACGCAGATAGAGAGAATTTTTCTCTTACGTCGTAAACTTTTCAATGAATGAAATAAGACACAAAAACAAACTACTGAAAATTTAAACATAGTTAAGTGACTATTTACTATCAAAGTTTTATTTTCTAAAAAAAACATACGCAGCCACTAGCCACATGATACGCAGCCACTAGCCACATGAGAAATGCATTTCAAATAGTAAAACGTGTTGAAATCCAATAACGAATTACTCATATAAAACATTCCAAAAGCTAATTACGAAAAACTATCTTTTTCCCGATAGTAAGGGAAAACAAAAGAAATGTTTTCCTCCAGCAAAGTCAACTGCCGAACTTGCTCAAGACTTTCCTTTCTTCATCTTATCTAGAAACTAAAACTAAATTGTGAAAAAAAAAACCCAAAAGCTAAACTAAAATAAGGTCACATTATCTGTAAAAACACTTAATATTGTTACTAAATTTTATTTCCCTTACTATGCATATTTGGTGATGCAATTTTCATAACATTGAAGTTAAGACTTAAGATCATCTTAAATCTTAAATATTTCAAACGTTATCCTCCCTTATGTACTTATTTGTTAAGGTTCATGACTTTCTTCTAATTGGAATTGTCTATTTATATACTATATATGCACCAACAGACCAACTCTATATCGTTATTTCATGAAAAATTCAATGAACATTTTGTTTAAAGATGAAGACTTTCTTTTGTTTCCACTAGAGTTTGGCAATGGATTTTAAATAAGATGTTTCCTTTTTGTTTTATTTCATTTATCACTCACCTTCTACTTCAACTTGTTTGTGACTTTTAGGTGCATGACCCCCAAGTATTCACACACACGTATTTATAAACTTCTTAAAGCATTCTTGAATATTCATGACAAAAGTACTAGGTATTATACAATTATTAATGAAATATAATATGAGGCCCTAGAAACCATTGACCCACCATGCATTATGAATAAACACCGAACCTTACCACATTTCTGAGCAATTTTTCCACAGAAGACCAATTCTAATCATGTTTAATAATTAATTAATTTGGATTTTGGAGGTATCCTTACTCTTTCTTTCTTTGCTTATAAATTAGACTCCATCTCTCTTCTTATCCTTCTACTTTTCTTCTTCCCCTTCTCAGAAATTTTTTTTACTAATCCTTTTTTGTATAGAAAATTTGTGTTTTGCTTTAACAAGAAGCAAGAGGAGCCTTATCTGTACCTTTCTTTCTGAAATAAAGAACCCTTTAAAATTCATCTTATTTTCTTAATTCTCATTTTATATGTAGATTTGATTCTTAAGACACTGATCAATTTATGTTTTTACTTTTTACAATAAAGTTTTCATTATTTTTCAGTTTCTTTGTAGATTTGCTTCTTACACACACTCATGTTTTGTCTTTGCAGAGAAACTTGACATTTATGGAGTCTCTGACGACCAAATCCTCCACCGCGAGGAGCGTTGAGCTACCGCCTCGCCGTGGAAAGGTGAAGCGAGAGATCTTTGGTTTCTTAGCCAATTCCATCGTTTCCATGATGAAAGCCGGTGGAGCGTTTGGGAGGAACTCCGGAGGTGGTGGTGGTGGCTCTTCTTCCTCCACCACCACTCCTCCAGGGAGTGGCTACACCTCCGAACAAAACAACGAATCCACTTAAACAACAAACAGACATAAAGACATAATTACGAAAGTGCCACCACCATGGCACCCTTGAGAGAAAACTGAGTGGTTCTGTTCGTTTTTGAAAACAGAACGCTACTTTTTTCTCCAAGTCCGGTTCGGTTTTATGGTGGTTTGTTTTCTTATGTGTGGTACGACCCGTTTTAACTTCTTTTTTTTGGTGGGTTAAACTGGGGAATACGTATTGGTGTAATTAATTTGCTTTTGATTATGTTGTAAACAAAAATATCTCCCTAATTTGTTGTTTCTACGTGTTTTTGAAGTGGAGTAATGATGTCCTCTGGGAGATATTTTTGTTTTGGTTTGCTTTGGTTTGGATTTAATTATGTAATGTGTATGCTTTAAATGTCTGTTTGTATCTTAAATGCAATGTATAATTAAGTGTGTTTTATTACTTAATTTTATTAGCTTCTTTCTCTTCTTTAATTGGCGAATACTACTATATATTAAACAAGCTTTCAAAAAAGAAAGTTGCCAATAGTAAAAATTACATCAAAAGTTAAAATCTTTAATGTTATTACTTATATATTTTTGATTTTTGAAGATTTGCTAAATGGTAAGACTGATAATTTTAATTAAGTAAATTATAAGTTGTTATTAGCAAATAACAAAAAGATATACATACCAAAACTTTAGAATGAAATTTATCTTGAGTGTACTTTTTAAGCTTTATTCATTTGCTGTATATATATATATATATTTAATTTTGTTGTTGGGAGACTTGGGACATAGTTGATTATTAAGTTTGGTGAAAAGTGCAATGGCCAAGCCAGCCACCTTAACTTTTGCCTTTTTCAATTGTTAATTATTCTCAATAATTTATTATTAAAAACTAAGACATATTTCCCTTTAAATACAAGTCATTTTTTTTTTTTAAACTCTTAGGATTTTACAATCAATTATTTGGATTCTTTTCAAATGTATTCAAATTTTGCCTTCAATGATATATATTTTATTGTTTGGCTAATTATATTCAAAAGCGCATCAAGATATGTTACTAAAACTAAAGTAAACTCGAGTCAACACATCGCACAAATCTTCTTCTGTAAACGGTAAACCAAACTAATTTGAGGAAGAGTTTCTTTAGGAGGGAATCGGAAGACAAACCTCTTGCGTAAGAGATTACGTATATGATTTTTTACGTAGCAGTTCATGATATTCAAAACCGTAAGAAAAGATTATATCGTAAGTATCGCTTGACAACATAATTTTTTCCATATGATTGGAACGTAAAAAGAAGCGACAAAAAATGTAGTTTATATTAGATTATAGCTCCTAAGCCTGCGAGTTCGGTTAGTTAAACCAAATTTAGTCGGTTTTTTGGTTATCAGTCAACCAAAGTAAATTTTAGAGGGTTACGGAAATAGGCCCAACTCAAAAATAATTTAGTTCTTGAGTCAAAGTAAAAAAATAAATCCAACTTTTTGTTCTATACTTAAGTAATTTGAAAATTTTAGACCATTTTTTACATAATTCCAAAGAAATTAGGACTCTAAAATATTTTTTTAAAAAAAATGAAAAATGGTAGGATCCTGTGCTTTGGCACTTTTGGCATACCCTTAAAGCCGGCCCTGACCTAAATTAACAGAAAATAAATAAATTCAGTTTGTTTTGGTTAGGTTCTCGATTAATTTCGGTTTTGAGTTTTAGAATTAACTGAATTTTGTTTTAAAAAAATTAAATTAGGTTAAAATTGGAATATTTGGTTAAATCCGAGTAATTTGGATTTTGGTTATTCGATTTGGTTTAATTTTGGTATTGGTGAAAACTGATCTAGTTTTGGTATAATCTGGTTATTTAAAGAAAAATAGTTATCCAAGAAACCCGATAGGTTCGACACGAATCGAACCAAAATTCTCGGGTAACAGAACCCAAACAAAATATGTCGATCGGTTCAGCTGAGAGAGCTAAATCCAAACTGAAAAAATTTGTTCGGTTTTGGAATTCTCGGTTCGGGTCAAAATCACAGGACTAATAGCTCCAATCCAGATGAAATATAGGGCCGGACGTAAATCCCATTGGGCTAACAATTGAGAAACTTTTGAGAGAAACAAACATCATATGATCCAATGTGTTCCGCGTTTGTGATTTTCTTTTTCTTCATCAATCCTGACAGCATAATTCTTTCCCCGAAGGGTAACTGAAACAAAAGCAAATAAAGGAATAGAAAAGTTGAGATGATTTGCCAAAGTCAGAAGCAATATATAAATGCTTGAATTAGATAACTTCACACTCACGTCATAATATTTCTCTATCCTCCTTTTGTAATCTTATATAAATCTTTAACCTCGTAATGTTACAATCCATCGAAGCAACGGTGACGGTGCCTTTAATATAAATCTCGTTATCACTTATCAGCACACTGCACACATGGCCGAGGTTCGAGGGAAACTATCTTTATTTATGTGTCTTTTCTAAGTTTTTTTTTGTCATCGTCTCGTCTTCTACTGGTTAGTAGTATCAGTTCTGACCATAGGTAATTCAAATCTTGTTACCTTTATTTATTTAATTTAAACAACAACAAAAACATCTAACATTAAAAAGCGTATATATCATATATATGTATATATATATATATATATATATATATATATATATATATATATATATATACAGTATTTTGAAATACATTTTTAGTGGGTGGGGCAAAATCCATTTGGATACAATGGATATCCCGTCTGTTTATAAATTTTGGTTATAAGAAGTTTGTTGGGTTATGTTATATTTAACCCAACTCATACACCGGATATTCCATATTTAATAATTTAGATATTTAGAATATTTGATTAAGATTTAGAATTATGATTCTCCTATCATCTTTATTTCATTTGTTTTTAACAGTTTTGAATCATCATATAATATATAAAGTAAAAAAAACAGACTTATATTATCCAATTGACGAAAAATGTGTGTTAAACATTCCACATCGACTAAAATATTTAGACTATGATTCAGAATTATATCATAAATAAGATCAACATTAATAAAATAAATAGGTTTTTTGAATCAACAATAAAATAAAAAAATATATCATTAATCCACCACTTCAATAAGGATTAAATATTTAGTTTTTTATTTTTTTTTTTAGCAAAATCTTTAGTTTTTTTAATACCACCAATATTAGACATATCAAATCAGTCTCATTTAAAAAAAAATTGTATAAAACCAAAAATTGTCATTTGGTATAATGTTACCTAATAACAATTGTAAACTATAGAATATAAATTTCTTAGAGATTGATACAATTTGTAAACTTTAATATATAATATATAATTATTACAATTTTTAAAATTACTATTTTTAGAAAAAAATCACGGGACGGATTAAGTAATTACATGACGAGTTATATTTCGGAACGAAGTTATATGGTGGACGAGTTTGGATCAATAATTATGAAATTTTAAAATATCATTAACATGCCGGTTTAATACAGATTAATTCTCAG